AAAAAAAAAACAATGAAAAAAAAACAACTTTCACAGTCAAGAAACAAGCTTACCTCATTCATGCACTTGTAGCCATGAAATCCCTCATTGCATAAACATTCTGTGAGGCTGAAGCCCAACTGGACACAATGAGAATTCTCAGGGCAGGAGACTGGTGGTGTGAATAAAGGGGCCATTGTACAATACAAGGAAATGAAAAAGTTACAGTTTAGGTTGCAGTTTCTTTGTGATAATATGAGAGAGATAGAGAGAGAGAGAGAGAGAGAGAGAGAGAGAGAGAGATGAAGAGAGAGTGAGATTGAATGATAAAGAGAGAGACGGGGTGGTGGGGAGGAGAGAGAGAGAGTGACTGACTGACACAGGCACAGAGAGAATAAAGGGGAAAAAGAGAGAGAGAGGGTGGGGGAGAGAATGAGAATGGGATGTCCGTGTTCAGGGACCTACGTTCACTTAATGGCTTAATTTATACTACGATAGTGATGTTTTCCCGAGACATTTTAAGCCACTATGAGACGGGGCGACCTCCTCTGACGTAGTCAGTACTGTTGAGCAGGCAGTGTTAGTCCTGGCAAGCTCTTCCCCAGCCTTGTTCAGTGTCTTTTGTACATGTTTCTTTTTTATATAACTTCAAATCTAAATTTTTAGTTAACCCCAACCACAAACGCCCTTCCGTTTGTCCGTCTCTTCCGTTTCTCGGAGAGACAATTATGTAGACTTCGATGTTTTTCTCTTTTGGTGTGTTAAGCAACGCATAGCACAAAAGAATGTAGAAGCAACATTTGTGGGAATCCAGACTTCAGCGAACATTAAGCTGTTTTGAAAGTTTATGGGTGTTGTGCAGTACTGCTGGAAAACTTCACCACATCCCACATTCATACTCGAGTCAGTATAAATGGTGAGACCACCTTTGAAAACGGTATGAGGCTGCTTGTGAGGCAAGAGGTGATTCTACGGCGTATGTAGATCAAACGTCCTTGTAGGGAAAAAATCAACTGCTTTGTGAGATGAAGATCGTAGTCAGTTGTCCGCAGAGCTCTGGTAGGGGTACGCAGAAGAAGAATAAGACACACTTGTGTCCATCTTCTCACGAAATCACACATTATGTTTTAGGAGGTCATCAAGCAGGGTCGGAAGCCCGCCTCCTAGTTGGTCTAACTTGTGTCGAGTGTGTGTGTGTGGGGGG